GCAAATTATATGGCGATTTTCTTCAACTTTATAAATTTTCCTATTTATATATCATAAAGGATAAATTAGTTTAGGATCTTTAACATTTTTTTTTTCTCCCAACACTTTATAAAATTGAAAACATTAATTGTTTTTCTTTTTTCTAAAAATCGAAAACACCCCCAAACCCTAACTAGAACTAGTATATATATGTTAGGGACGCGTCATAAACAAAAAAACGTAAAGATATAGTAATGGATCCAAAGAATAAGACAAAAAAACTTGGCAAATCAGATCTCTCTATCTCAAAGATGAATCCAAATACGAAAAAGCAAAAACTTAGCGAATCACAAGAACAAGTAATCCCAATTACTCCTTTTCTCACAAAGATTGATTTGGGATAAGCCATGAAGAAACAAAACGACAACGCTTTGATCCTTGCGGCGAAAGTAATCGAAACAAAAGCCAAAAACTCTAACCTAGTCTTCTCTCCAGCATCAATAAACTCGGCGATTACAATGCACGCAGCTGGTCCGGATGGTGACTTAGACGCCGGTGGAATCCTATCCTACTTGAGATCTTCTTCACTCGATGAGCTCAAAGCCGTTTTCAGCGAAATCTCCACCGTTGTTTTAGCTAACAATAGCTCACGTGACAGTCCAAAAATCAGTGCCGCGAATGGCCTATGGATCGATAAATCACTTGCGATTGATCCCAAGTACAAGAAACTCTTTGAGAATTTTTTCAAGGCTTTTTACGCTAAAGTAGATTTCCGATCAAAGGTACGTAACCTTTTCTTGATTTGTATAGAAGAAGCCATGCCTAGAGTATGATTCGCATGGTACGCGATTTTTGTTTAACAATTTTATTAAATTTAGTTTCGATTAGTTTGGTGTTAAGTGTTTTTCTGTAAATCTCCACGAAACTCGTATTTCACTCTTTCTCTCCTTTACAATGTAACTGATTCATTTTTCGAGAAAGTGAATGAATGAAAATATCTAATGAAACCCTCTATTTATATCAGAGGTTTCATTTTACAAAGTCAAACTTTGACTAAACTTCCTCTTTAACACTTGCAACAACTATAACGACTTCTTCTCTTCACAAAGTGCCACCTCGTCCATCTGTCTTC